TAATCAGACGTCATTCAGGTTGTAGTTTCCCCACCAATGAAGAGTCCAGTTGGTTCCAAGTTAAAACAGATTCTGGTTCCATTGGAACTGAACAGAACCTGAATCAGCAGAATAACAGCAGCAGAACATTTGTGTTCAAACTGGGAGTTATGAGTAGATTTTATGTCTTCAGACGTCAACAGATAAACTTTTATCTTACAGTTCTCAGTAAACCAGTCAAACCAGTTTGGCCTCATTTCTACTCAGAATAGTTTCTGATTAAACTCACCTGTTAAGGTGTGGTACCAGTCTGGTTCTGTTGGGTCTCAGTTTGTTGATCACATATTCTTGTTCAACTCTTTGGATCATTTGAACAAACTGTAAGTTTGTTTTGTTTTCTACTCAAACATTGTTTTCAAGAATATTAATGTCTGTTTATTATTTTTATCTCAGAAGTTTGGAGAAAATGTTCACCTCTAATTTCAGATCAACCTTTAATCTCTGCTGTTTGAAGGTTAATCTATAGGATTATTGATGAACTAGAATCAAATGCGATGAATGTGATGTTTTTTTTCTTCTCTCAACAAATTGATTCATGATTTTCATTTCCTTCTATCAAATTCTGGTCTATATGTCTGACACCATTAAATTCAGACACAAGTTTGTCCTGCTTCCTTTCAGAAATAAATGCTGTTACAGTAAAATGTGTTCAATTCAGTCAAATTACTAAATAGTTCATTGTTAGTGGCACATTTAATCCACTTGTAGAGATTAATAATTAACTAAAATCCTTCCTGTTCAGGTTGAATCTGTGAATGTAAATGTTGCTCCATGTCTCCATCTAGTGGACTGATAGTAGAAGTGCAGCAGCTGATGGCAGCTTCCTCTGCCTCTCTGCTGTCTGACTGCATTCACCTGACACTGATATGAAGCAGAGAAGAAGAGCCAATCAGAGGAGGAGCAGCTGATCTTTTTCCAGCACTAATGATGTAAAGGATGATCAGAGTTGATGTGCAGATGAATGATGTGTGTTTCCTCTGCAGGTGAAGCTAGAAAATGTGTGTGAGCTGATGTGGATTCAGCAGCATGGATCAGTGTGAGGACAGAGAGGAGGGAGTCCCTCCCTCTAAAACCACTCTGTGTGGGGAAGATGAGAGCCAGAGCAAAGGTCAGAGGTGAGGTCACCATCTCTAACTGTCCACAGCCCTTTTCACACAGCGTTCACTATATCAGGCCAGAACAGACGTGGTGATGAAGCTGCTGCTGCTCCTCTTTGCTGATTAAGTTTTAATCATCATGTTTCTGTCAGGATCCATCAGAGACTCAAACCAGAACCAGAACCCAGCTGTGTGTCCTTTAAGAGTGACAGATCAAAGAAAAAACCCATTCACTTTAAATCTCCTGGATCTCCATCATCAGAGAGGTGAGCTGTTTCTAACTGCTGTAACTCTGGAAACTGAACCAGTAAGAACTCAGATGTTTCCAGTTATATTTCCAGAGGTTTGATCCATTATCTACAGAAATCAGCTGCTCTGTTCTCATGAAAACACCTTCATATCTTTATCTCTGGATGTTGATGATGATGTTCTGTTGCTTCCTGGCTCCTTGTCAAACTAACAGTGGATCATATTTCCACTGGGAAATACCTGGTAAAGCCATTCTGGTCCATCAGGACTTGGTTCCTGTGTGCATTGTGAGAGCAGTTCAGCAGGGAAGGAAAGCTTCATGATGTGGTTGGTGAGATCTGCTGGAACTCAACCAAACTGAGCTGATGTGGACCATCAGAGGTTCTGCTGGTTCTTAATGGGATCAGCAGGAACATTAAATCTTTACAACTACTTAGATCACCTGGTTCTCTGCTCACATCCAGATATCACTTCATGGACCTTTACCTTCAGATTGTCTCTGTGTGGTGTCGTTGCCGATACACCCCCCCACTTCCTTCACTCTCTACTGTCTCAGTCACTACTCCTCTTCTGAGAGGGGAGATGTGCTACCAGCTCTCCATCGAATGGGTAAATTGAGTTTCCTAAATCTGCTGGGATTTACCCTATCCAGAACACAAGTAAACTCAGTTTAAGCTGGTTTTGAGACAGGATTCGTCTGATTTCTACGACCTACATCCAGATGTCCCACCCTTCTTACCCCTGTGAATTAGCCAGACTGAGCAGCCTACAGCCAACTAGTTTCACAGAGCACATCTGTTAACGGTCGCTCCTTCTCTTTTTTGCAACTTGCACTTGTTACTGAATCAGATTAGTTTTAGTGACTCGGGCGAGTCCCAAGGATGTTGTTTTAAATTTGGGCTAAAGCAACCTTTTGCCTAGTTTTCTTCCCAGAATCAAACATCACAGCTATTTTACTACCATCAAAGAACTTTGAGGTGACTCATTAATTGAATGTCCACAACATCTTTTAGATTTTCTTATGCTAAATTTTATTAGTAAAGCAATTTTGCAAGGGTAAGTAGCAGAAATAATGAAAAAGTAAAATCAATCATCTAGCCTATCTTTCCCTAACGCTGATACTAAGAACTAAAAAGGGAACCTTTGAGAGAAACGGATGAAGTTTGGTATTTCAAACCCCAGAACTGGCTCGATGATGAAGAAGGTGTTGCAGCAGGAGGAGGAGGTTGATTGACGAAGTCAGGGATCTCTGTTGGTCTGATGAGCTGTCATCTCTGCATGAATGATGAGGTCACACAGGACTTGGGTCTTTATCTTTGCCTTGATCTTCATCTTTGAATGAAAATTGAATGAAAATTATACATTCAATTTACATAAATATAATACACAGATACAATATACAGATATAAGGCATGTGCTATATACAATCAAAACCACTAATTCAGAATCCTTTTAGTATGTAAAGCTATCACCGAAAAAATAGCACACAATGTAGGTTATTTATCTTTGCCTTGATCATCTTTGTCCTTGGGGTCTGAACCCAGCCGATGAGAGAAGTCCGATTTGAAGCCACATGTTGCGGGGCTGATGGGTTGGTCCCCGTGCGCAGGACAGTCTTCGGCTCTGTGGCCCCGGCTCTTCTTCAGCTGCAGAGTTCTTTGTCCATCTCGGTCTTGACTCGAAGCTGCCTGGAGGATCCAACCAAAGATTCCTCTTTTGCTCTCCCCTTATATAGGGTTTATACCCGCTTTTGGTGCATTTTCATTGGCTAACATTGTTGCTGTGCTTGCTTTATTGGGTAGCTGTTTGGACAGATGAGCTCATATCCATCACTGTCTTAGAGACATTTTGTCCTGATGTCTTGGCTAATGTCTCAGGGTTACTCAATGTTCATCCCATTTCTCTGACACGTTTAAGTTGTTCATCAATCTATGTCCTAATGAGGCGTTGGTAATCTCTGCTTTCCATTTTAGTCTCCATGTTAGTCTCCATTTTACCCCTAACATTTCACCTACTATCTACCTCCAACACAGTATCAGTGATCTTTAATAGCAGATACATGTTTTACACCATTTCAAGTTCAATGTTAAAATCACATTCATAAACCTTTTAGTTTCTTTGATTTAGCATTAATTTATAATTTTATGATAATCACAACTTATTACTCTTTTATTATTTGATACCAAAGTTACAGTTACTTGTTTTACTTGTACGTTTTTCAACAAGTGTAAGTAAGTATTGTTATAAGTAAACCACTATTAATATAAGTACTTTAAATCTTATCTAATTACTCAAAATGTTTAGATTTCATCCTTTAAAACGTCTATGCTTTTAAATAAGGACTGCTCTCAGCTATTTTTATACAGCTGCAAGCTGGAAACTTTCTTCCTCTTTTTCCAGGAAACCTGCTCTTCCTATCTCATCTCTCTCTCTGACTATGATTTCTTATGATTAGATAGAAAAAATAAGTATAATTAAAGCTAAGTTTGCAGGAGAAAAAAACAACACACACAACCAGGTTTATTTTATTGCATTCTGGGTCTACTGTTGGATCTAGATGTGATTTGTGACTTGTTTTAAAGGTAACTTTATTTATTGTTACTGTTAACAAAAATCTCCAGCATGGGGAAGTGGGATGGTCTCGGATTTTCTTGACACCCTCTTCGAGGTCAGACCTTTCCCATGCTGGGGGTCCAACAACGCAGAACTCAGGGAACGAGTTCTGCATCCTCATTCCCTGGAGAGAAGAAAAGGTTCATCTAGGATGCTGGGAAGTGAAGATGCAGATTCTTCATCCTCAATTGTCCCAAAGGTCTCAGTAAAATCATCAAAACTCCACTTCTCTCAAATCTTGTGAGAATGTGAGCTCAGATACAATGTGAGCTTACTGGCTTCCAGGGATCTACAGGATCCATTTTAAAATCCCCACTATAACATGCAGGAGAGGATCCCACATGGACACACCCACATATTTAAAATCTCCTCCATGTCCGCATCACCTCAGATCTAGTCATCAGAACCTGGTGGATGTCCCACAATGTCCTGAAGACCTGTGTGGACAGAGCCTTCACTTCCACTGTCCCCAAGCTCTGGGAGACTGTCTCCACCAGCATCAGATCTGCTGACAGTTTGGACTGTTTGAATCAACTTTTTAAAATGATTACTGGATTATTCTGGTGTTACTGGTATCATCAGTGTAGATCATCTTCCTCTTTGTAACTTTGAATTGTGTTCATGTTATGCTCTGTTTTTCTATTTCAAGGACTTTTAATGTGAAACTCCTGGTGATTTCCTCTGTGAATACTGCTGAATGAATATTTCCTGACTTCCTAATTGTTCCTGGTTCCTCCACAGAGTGGACCAGCAGAGCTCAGAGGTTCCCAGGGGTCCATCTGTCCAGATGCATCAAACACAGCTGAACTCCCTATTTATGGTCTGTATATGATCAACAACTACTTTTCCATGAGTTCTGTTCAAAGTCACATTCATGCTGCACTTTGTAGACCAGAGGACTGTCAGTCTGTCCAACATCCATCTGGTGTTTGGCTCCATGATTTCACTCTGATGTTTCCTTCATCTATTATTTTGTTCCAGCTGCTGGAGGACAACATTGTCACTTTTGTGAAGAAAAAACTGAAGAAGATTCAGAAAGTTCTGGGTCCAGATTACCCAGAACATTCAGAGATTCAGAGAGATGATGAAGTATTGGAAGGTGATGATGAAGAGCAGAGGAGGAGCAGCAGAGAGGCAGTGATGAAGATCACACTGAACTTCCTGAGGAGGATGAAGCAGGAAAAGCTGGTTGACCATCTGCAAAGCAGTAAGAGGATTTTGAAAGATTTTAAATGATAGATAACTTGCACATTTGCTGAAGTGATGTAATCAAATTCACAAGATGATTTTTGTTCAGATCTGATTTTTGTTATTGTGTTAATTTAGGACATTTTCCTGCAGTTTGTCAACATAAACTTAAATCTGGTCTGAAGAAGAAGTTCCAGTCTGTATTTGAGGGGATTGCTAAAGCAGGAAGTCCAACCCTTCTGAACCAGATCTACACAGAGCTCTACATCACAGAGGGAGGGACTGGAGAGGTCAATGATGAACATGAGATCAGACAGATTGAAACAGCATCCAGGAAACCAGACAGACCAGAAACATCAATCAGACAAGAAGACATCTTTAAAGTCCCACCTGGAAGAGATCAACCAATCAAAACAGTGATGACAAAGGGAGTGGCTGGCATTGGGAAAACAGTTCTAACACAGAAGTTCACTCTGGACTGGGCTGAAGACAAAGCCCACCAGAACATCCAGTTCATATTTCCATTCACTTTCAGAGAGCTGAATGTGTTGAAGGATAAAAACTTCAGTTTGGTGGAACTTGTTCATCAATTCTTTGCTGAAACCAAAAAAATCCGTCAGTTTGAACAGTTCCAGGTGGCATTCATCTTTGATGGCCTGGATGAGTGTCGATTTAATTTGGACTTCCACAACAATGAACTCCTGACTGATGCTACAGAGTCCACCTCAGTGGATGTTCTGCTGACAAACCTCATCAGGGGGAAACTGCTTCCCTCTGCTCTCCTCTGGATAACCACACGACCTGCAGCAGCCAATCAGATCCCTCCTCAGTGTGTTGGCATGGTGACAGAGGTCAGAGGGTTCAATGACCCTCAAAAGGAGGAGTACTTCAGGAAGAGATTCAGAGATGAGGAGCAGGCCAGCAGGATCATCTCCCACATGAAGACATCACGAAGCCTCCACATCATGTGCCACATCCCAGTCTTCTGCTGGATCACTGCTACAGTTCTGGAGGATGTGTTGGAGACCAGAGAGGGAGGAGAGCTGCCCAGAACCCTGACTGAGATGTACATCCACTTCCTGGTGGTTCAGACCAAAGTGAAGAAGGTCAAATATGATGGAGGAGCTGAAACAGATCCACACTGGAGTCCAGAGAGCAGGAAGATGATTGAGTCTCTGGGAAAACTGGCTTTTGATCAGCTGCAGAAAGGAAGCCTGATCTTCTATGAATCAGACCTGACAGAGTGTGGCATCGATATCAGAGCAGCCTCAGTGTACTCAGGAGTGTTCACACAGATCTTTAAAGAGGAGAGAGGTCTGTACCAGGACAAGGTGTTCTGCTTCGTCCATCTGAGTGTTCAGGAGTTTCTGGCTGCTCTTCATGTTCATCTGACCTTCATCAACTCTGGGGTCAACCTGATGGAAGAAAATCCACCATCATTTTTTACTAAACTTTTTAACAAAGCAAATATTAACAATCTTCATCAGAGAGCTGTTAACCAGGCCTTAATGAGTCCAAATGGACACCTGAACTTGTTCCTCCGTTTCCTCCTGGGACTTTCACTGCAGACCAATCAGAGACTCCTTCAAGGTCTGCTTACAAAGACAGAAAGTGGCTCACAGACCAATCAGGAAACAGTTCAGTACATCAAGAAGAAGATCAGTGAGAACGTGTCTGCAGAGAAAAGCATCAATCTGTTCCACTGTCTGAATGAACTGAATGATCGTTCTCTAGTGGAGGAGATCCAACAGTCTCTGAGTTCAGGAAGTCTCTCCACAGATAAACTGTCTCCTGCTCAGTGGTCAGCTCTGGGTTTCATCTTAGTGTCATCAGGAAAAGATCTGGATGTGTTTGACCTGAAGAAATACTCTGCTTCAGAGGAGGTTCTTCTGAGGCTGCTGCCAGTGGTTAAAGCCTCCAACAAAGCTCTGTAAGGACACAGACTGTTACTGTAGTTATTTGATAGTGGAATTCAAAAGTTTTGTTGCTAGACTCCTTGATGTTTTTAGATCAGACCGTCAAAGATTGTTTCACAACAAAAGGCAACATAAATATGTAAAACAATAGATAGTTCCTTCAATCTTTCCAAAAAGAATATAATTGATTGTAAAATAAAATATTTTTTTAACAATTGTTTAATAACAGATTTTCCTCCCTGTCTCCTCAGACTGAGTGGCTGTAACCTCTCAGAGAGAAGCTGTGAAGCTCTGTCCTCAGTTCTCAGCTCCCAGTCCTCCAGTCTCAGAGAACTGGACCTGAATAACAACAACCTGCAGGATTCAGGAGTGAAGCTTCTCTCTGCTGGACTGAAGAGTCCAAACTGCAACCTGGAAACTCTCAGGTAAATGTTTTGAATACATAAATATACACATCTTATACATGATTATAAATTGCTCTACTCAGCTGCACATCTGTTAAACTGATTATGCTGTTTTTATTAAATGCACAGAATTATTATTTCTCTGCTCTAAATGTGTCCTTACTCTACAGTCTCATATTAGTTTTCAATATCCGATTCTTCCATTTACCTTAAACTTGTTGCTGGTAAACATGAACCAGCAACATTGTTCCACCTGCTGTGGATCAATGAAGGATATTTCTGTTCTGCTCTGTTCTATAAGTGACAAATGTTGTTTTTTTTATTACTGAGAAAAAAAATCAAAGCCTTACTACTCTTTAATCATATTGACAGGTTAAGCACAATTTACTGACGTTTTAACTCATATTAAAATCTCCAGTTCAGACTTTGGTCTCTACCTCAATGTTCTCATTTCTTATCATGTGATGAATTGTGTGTCTGCAGCTTATCAGGCTGTTTGGTCTCAGAGGAAGGCTGTGCTTCTCTGGCCTCAGCTCTGACCTCCAACCCCTCCCATCTGAAAGAGTTGGACCTGAGCTACAATCATCCAGGAGACTCAGGAGTGAAGCTGCTGTTGGCTGGACTGAAGGATCCACACTGGAGACTGGAAGCTCTCAGGTATGGAGGAACCTGCTGCAGGAGCAGAGAAGGTCTGATAGAGGAGGAAGAGGGAGAAATGTCTTTAGTCAGTCTGCTGGTTTTCCCAAGGTTTGTTCCTGGAAGCTGCTGCTGGTTCCTCCAATCCAGGCTCCGCCCCTTTAGAGGAAATCTGTCCATATATGGCGCTAAGAGTCACCTTGATGCTGCAAAGCTTTGTTCAGGGATGAGATGTCAGGATGTTGGTATCAGTCTGTTCCAGGCTTTAGTTGTTCTCCTCATGAGGAGCTGAAGTCTCTGACAGGAACGTGGAGCTGAACTGGAGAAGAACTTGAAGCTTCTTCTTGGCCTCTGATTGCAACAGCAGGACAATCCAACATTTTAGTCTGACTTCATCTGGAAATATTTTTGACCCTCAATCAGTGTGAAGGCAGGCCAGCTCCTCATCAGAGCTGAGAACTTCTCTGACCTCTGTGCTGGAAATGTAGAAGTGCAGCAGCTCCTGGTCAGTGACATCAGAGTGTGACATCATCAGTAGAGTGATGATGTCATTTCCCTCTCAGAGCAGCTTGGAAATCTGAGAGGAAAGATGCAAACAAAGACTCTCTGGACTGTTGGATCTGCTGGTTCTGGTTCCAGATGTTCCTTGGACACTTTCACAAGCCATTACTGCAGCTGCTGGATTCAGGATGCTGCTTCTTCTTCTTGGGCTCATTGTAAATGTGTGCAGAGCCACCTGGTGGTGCTGGTTGGTAGAGGAAGTGCTGAAAGGTTGGAGGTGTTTGTCAGAAGTGTGTGATGATGGAAGCCTCTCCCTGGTTTGTGAGTCTGAGCTCAGAGATCAAATCTTTGATTCCTGTTGAATCTTTGTTGAATGTGATGCAGCTTCTCCTTTTTAATGTTTGTATTTCTGGATATTACAGTGAGGCCACCGCAGGTTTTCAGCAGCAGGGCTGTTTAGTGTTTCATTCCTTCATCTGTGTGTGGGAGTGTGGATGGATCAGGCATCCAGGTGTTGATCAGAGTTTAGATTGATTGTATTTTAATGCTGATTATTAAATCAGGTTGAGCTTCCAGAAATGTTTCCTTAGTTTCCTGATGTCCTTTTAGGCTTCAGTGAGTTTCTTCAGGTTGTTACTGAGGGATTTCCTTTCTCCTCTCTGTTGGAGCTTTTCCTGTGTTTGGAGAAATGAGTTGTGCTGCAGCAGCACCAACTGTCCTTCCTACATCCACTGCAGTTTGCAACCCAGATGTTGGACTGTTCCTGTCTCAGTGGAGGACAATGTGTGTCTGAGAGACATGTAATGTCCATGTTTGCTGCTGAAAGAGACTGATGGTCTGACCCCCCTCCTCCTTTCAGGGTGGAGCCTGCTGGAGGCCAATTCTTGACTCCAGGTCCATGGAGATGTAAGTGTGTTTTTCATCTGATTCATGACAACAAAGCAGCTCACATTCAACCATCTTCAAACTGTCACATCACTCATTCAGGAGTCAAAGTGTCAATAAATGATCAATAACTGCAGCTGGATTGTGTTTGTTCTCTCCATCAGATTCCTGTCTACTCACCATCAACACAAAACAGTGAGCAAACCTCAAACTGTCTGAAGACAACAAGAATGTGACATGTGTGAAGGAGCTTCAGTCATATCCTGATCATCCAGACAGATTTGATTACTGGTATCAGCTGCTGTGTAGAACTGGTCTGACTGGTCGCTGTTACTGGGAGGTCGAGTGGAGAGGATATGTTTTTATATCAGTGAGTTACAGAAGAATCAGGAGGAAAGGAAACAGTAGAGACTGTTTGGTTGGATGTAATGATCATTCCTGGAGTCTGAGCTGCTCTGCTGTAAATGGTTACTCTGTCTGGCACAATAACATAAAAACTCATATCTCCTCTCCTCTGGCTCTAACAGAGTAGCAGTGTATGTGGACTGTCCTGCTGGCATTCTGTCCTTCTACAGAGTCTCCTCTGACTCACTGATCCTCCTCCACACCTTCAACACCATATTCACTGAACCTCCGATTCCTGGATTTGGGTTCTGGAGGTTCCGTTCTCTTTCCTCTTCAGTGTCTCTGAGCTGATTTGAGTCTAAAGAGTCTAAAGTTTTTCCTCCTGTCAGAGAAATTCTCTCAGTGTTGAACAGATAGTTCAGTCTCCACAATCTATTTCTTGGTGAAACGATTTTGATTGAGTCCTTGGAAACTTTTTCTTCCTCCAGTCCTTTAAATATGGAAGCTGTGATTATTCCAGGATTATTCCAGGATTCCATGATCCTCATGTTTTTCAGTTTGTTTCCAGTCAAAGCTTCACACTGAATATCAGATGTTGTTTCTCTTATTTCTTTCATTCATCAGATTTCATTGAAATATTTATCAGTTTTCTCAATCTGATCAGTTTCTGTTTCTATCAGCTCCTATTTTTCTTAACATGTCAGATTTGAATATTAAATCTTCCTTTTGTAAATTTACTGCAGTTTTTCTTCATGTGTTTTAAATAAAAACATTTTTCTTCTGCATTTGGTTCATTTGCTGCACATTCTGTTTTTTTCCTGTTCAAATTTAAATATTTGTATTAAAATTATTTTTTCATCAACTCTCTGCTTTCAGAAAGTATAAAGTGGGGAAAATCTTAATATTTTCTGTTTCATTCAGAACTTAGAGCTGAAACTCAGAACCTGCAGAACATTTTTCTCTTTGGAGAAAAATCCCAGGAACTGTAAGATCAGAGCTGAATGAAAACTGGAGATCAGTGTTGGACAGAAAAGGTCTGATCGCTGCATCTCTGCTATATTTTACATCTGATAACAAAAAGTAAACCTGTTTTTAGCTGAGAATAAATCAACATAGATATGACCCGCCACAGCGCCAACGTGGGCCACACCTGATTCAACCCAAAGTGGAAAATAAAGGCTTTAATTGGAAATCCCAAACACAGTAAAATCAGCAGCTGGTTGTGATTAAAATGCAGTTTGTTGCAGAGGTTCAAACTTTCTGATGGTGACCTCTCCTCCGTCCCTCACCTTGTCTGGCCGCTTTTAATCCTCACTGCAGTGTTAGACTGGAGCTAATCTCTCAGATTAAAAAGATTAACACTGAGCTGCAACAGGAATTAAACGTCTCTCCTTCAACTTATTTCACTGATTAATAACAAGGTTGGATAAAAACATTGAGATTCTCATTCCTTAAAGTGTCATGAAGAAAGACTTAACCTGTAACTGCAGGAAAGAAGTTAGAAAGTTTAAAATACATGAAATTTTTTTTGTAAATGTTTCTAACAAGTCATTTAATTATCTGTTTTTTATATATTTTCATGTTTAAAACTGTATAAAAAAGGTGTAAATGGTGAAATGAAAAATCTTCAGAACGATACAATTTTTAACATGATTAAACCTAACCCTAACCCTAACCCTGCTAATCCTAATCCTAACCCAATAATTCTTTGTTGGACCACTGCTATGCCATATTGGGGAGGAAACTTTAAAACAGTTTTAATGTAACTTTCTCTATGTCCTAACATGAAATAATCTGAGAGAACAAATGGACTTCCTCTGCCTCCTCTCTGTGTTCTGCTGAATTACTCTACTGGGTCAGAACCAACCCATCAGAACCAGAACAATCAGCCATGAGCTGCAAGTGTTGTACATGTTTTTGTCTAAATTAGGTTATTTTATGTCTCCATTTTGCCAGATCACATAATAACATTTCTACCTAAAGCGAAACATTAACAGCCAATTCATGTGATCAATATTAGTGATCTGCAGTGATCGGACCTCATGGTGATCAGAACCGGCAGAAAAAACCCTGATGGGAGCATCTCTACCCAGGAGTAATATGATGGTTTAGATGTTCATTGAAATCTTTTCCCTTTTGAAAGAAGCAACATTTGGGGAACTTGTGAATGATTACATTATTGATCATACTTGGTTCTGCTTCAAATAATTATTTTTAAACTGAATTATTCTATTGTCATTGTTGTATTTACATTTGGGAGATTGAACATTTCTGGTTTTATCAGGTTTTTAAAGTAAAACTTTATAGTTCAGAAAATAAACTCAATCTACTGAACATTCTGATTTTATGAGAATCTGTTTGAAATATTTGTTACAAAGTTGATACCTCATTAATCTTTATGTGAATTAAATTGTTGTGTTTAATTAGTGTTTATTGTAATGTACTGTTACTGGGTGTAAAACTATTTTTATTTTTTAAAGGATTTTGCACCTTTTACTGGCCGACTTTTATTTTGTAAATCATGTGGTGGGACTTCCGGTGGCGCCACGCTCCCGTGAGATTGATTATTAGTTGGCAAATTCTCTCATTTTCTGGATTCCCCCTTAAGAGAAACCGCCAATAATAAAATGATGCCGACAAGAAACACCGTTGGTGAACAACAAAGTGACCAAAAAAGTCTTTTGGTCAACAAAAGTCAAAAAGAGCCAGAAATGAAAGAGCCATTTCTGGCTCTTTCTGTCAGAAATGTTTTAACATGTTAAAACATTTTAACTCCGAAAAAAAAAACGTTGCGTTGAAGGTTAAGTAAAATACTCAATGTCTATTTGAGTCCTTGTAATGAAATAAAAACAAGCAGAACTTAAATGATCCAGTGGCAGCAACAAAAATGGCGTCATCCTTTTACTGGCGCCGTACAGTCAGCCTCAACCTGCAGAATAACATGCAGGCTGTCAATTGGGTATAGCAAGGTATGGCATACCCAGACCTTGTTTTATAAAATACTGGTATTTTATAAAACAGTCATCAGTGTTGCATTGGACTCGCTGGAAGTAACGTTTCTATGATGTCATTTCTGCATGTATATTGATTGATTCTGTCATGTGATGAGTAACCTGGCCATACCTCAGCTTTGGTTGAATTGACGCCACTGATAAAATGTCTATTTCAGCGAACAATGACAAATATGAATATAGGGTAAAATAATAGTCAATTAAAATACTGATCATTCTTGGTCAATGTGATTTCTGCTCCTGAACCGTCTGCACATCGGGGCTGTATGCCGTCACCTTCATCTTCTCACAGGATTGTAAGCTGTCATCTGTGAGGCTGTTTGTTTTTAATGAAGTT